TGATCGTCTCACCGCACCTCGAGTTCCGACCAGCTATTTTCTTTTTTTTTTTTAGGTGTACCTACCTGTATATAATGCGCGTATAGTGTGTAGGTATATACATCGGTACGTGGTTGACGCGGCGAACATTATTATATATATTTTATAATATTTTCACAGACCAGCTGTGGTCTGCACACTCGTATAGTATCATTCCGCGTGTACCTCTATAATATACGACGTGTATAAATATGTAATAATATAATATTATAAACGGACGATGAGTTACACGTACATCGTATCATTATTATAATACTGCGTGTGTACTATTAGCATATTAATATATATATATATATATATATGAAGGTACGCGGCGATGCTTATAATATTTTCACCTCGGCCATTATTCCCCTAATCTCCCCCCCCCCCGCCTGGCCAACACCACCATCACCACCTCACCGCTCAAACCACTCGCACTACGATGTGTACACAATAACGCCCAAGTCAGGGGGAACAGCGCCCGATCACGTGGGCCCAATTTTCGTATGTTCACGTCCACCACAGTGTACTGCACACACATACACACATATTATAATAATATAATAATAATATACACCTATATATAAACGGTATATGCACACACACACACACTCTCAGACGTATATTATACGATAATATTGTAATGATAATAATAATATGAGCACCACGTTACAGCAGCAGCAGCAGCAGCAGCACCGTACAGTCCGTGTTCACGTATTGTGCACATATTATATTGTAGGTAGGTGTATAATAATATGATATTGTTAGTCTGAGCTGTGCAGCAAGTAATTATCTCTGGCCGAGTCTCTCGTTATGGTACAACGGCGCAAACCGCAAGACGACTTCCCGAGCTGGGGGTCAGTCCGACTTCAACCGCCATCGCCACCGCCTCGCCGCCCGGACGGAGGTGTTCGCCGTGCGTGCGTGGAAGTGGCGTGTTGCAGGGGAGAGATAGAAAAACGGTCTTTTTAACCTCGTGGCCAAACAGTTTTTGTCAGGTGTAATTTGTTCGGTGCCCGAGACCCGGGGTCTAGACTACCCTATAAATACTCCGCCGACTGTACTACATATATGTATATGTATATAATATACATTATATATATATTTATTATCATACGCCCATGGTAGTAGGGGTACGATATAATAATATTATTATCTTACATTATTAGTAGTGGTAGTGGTAGTACACGTACGTACACTACTACACTTAATACACTGCAGATCCGGAAGTGCATTTAGAATTCGAAAATTCGGGGTCAGGGCTCTAAAAACTTTCGACGTAGTTAATTAGGGTTGGTTGCACAATAACGATATGAAACTCTGGAACATTTCGGCACAAACGAAAGTCACGCTATATACTTTGATTACAAAAGACTTAGGTGTGGGTGCCAGGGAAATGTACCGATGGTCAACGCTGGGATATATTATGTCGGAGCACAGATAAAATATATGATTTACTTACTGGCGAAATAAAAATGTCATGGAAGTACAATATTATAATACAGTTAAGTAGTTAAGAAAATATAGGCCAGCGAGCGTTTTTTCGTGAAGCTGCAATTATTTTTCTCACCTGCATTATAGTTACGTCGATTCTAATATAATATTATAATATTCATTCTATTTTCACTGCATAATTTCGAAAAAAATATATATTTTAACGTACGAGAGATTATGATTATAATAATAATAGCTGATACGCCACATAATTATCATCGATAATATTCACTCTAATCAATTGCCTAAGCCAAACGTTTAAATAATATTATATTAAATCTACTAAAATGTCGATAGGAAAAAAATATATATTTCATAATAATTATGTATTAAAATAATGGCACGTATAATATTCATAAAAAACTAATTTTAGAAAATATTTTTCATGACTTTAATATAGTATTGTATTGAAGTCTGTGGGATTTCTAGCAACTCAATACGAATATATAATATTCACAATAATAAATTAACAAGTGTAGGTTAATAATTGGTTATCTGAAGTTTATCGGACATATTATAATCTACACTGCGCTGCGGCTCGTTTGATGTGTTTAAATCAATACTATCATAATGAATGTTTTAATTATAGTTAAATAGTTAATCAATTATTAAATATTGAACATACGAATTTCACGAAACACTAAACTGTAGTTTTAATGATGCGTATATTTTTTAACCGGTCAAAGTATCACGATTTATCATATTATTCAATTGCCAAGTGTACTTATTATTTTCCCGATAAGAATTAAAACTAAAACCCAAAGTTCACATTTTTTAATAATCTCTGAATCGCGTCGTAATTCGTTGTATCATATTGTGTGATCGCATACCTACGTAATTCTTAACCGTTTATAACAGTAATTTCTGTCTTCTATGAAATACAATTATAATAATAATACCTTTATAATGTCAGTTTGATACACCTGAGGTCTGAAAGTAAAACCATAAAACACGGGGCAACGAAAAAATGTATTTAATGAATTTTAATAATATCATTGAGTTACGAATTGTTGTAATAGAATAATATGAGAGTTGCAACGTTTAAAACAACTAGTGCTCAAAAATATCGATATATTTTTCATCAGATATTATTTCCTACCTTACTATAATATCACTATAATATCATCTAACATTGATCAATCAATACTATTATTAAGCTTTAATATTTTATTTTTTTCACAACGTTTTGTGAGTTTAAAAATATGTTTAGTAAATATTATATAAGTAATAACAACAATATATTATTTTATGTATAATATCTTTACAGAATTGTAATATTTATTATCATTTGATGTTTTGATGTAATTAATTTTCACAGTTTCAACCCTCTTTATAGCTGACAGATCTCCCCTCTTAAAAGTCGTAGTTGTTTTTACGTTGCATTTTCAAAGAGTTATACCGATTATTTTCTATGTTTAATTATTAATTTAAACTTTTTAATGAATTTAAATTAAAAACAAATATTAAATGGACACACACTGATACATCTTTAATTTTTAATTACCTACACTTCATATATTGGGATTTATTTTTGAAATCATTGTTTACATTTCATAGAGGATGGATTAGGGCATTTTCGGACATTTTAAATTAAATTCTGTATGAATTATGAACATTTCACTTGATACCATTAGTACCCACTACCTATAGTTATATTAATTTAGAGTATATTTTGCGATTTGACAATATGTAAAGCATTTATGATTCACTGTATCTATAACTTATTTTCGCAGTCATGCCCATAATTGTCAATTTTGTTCGTCAATTTTGTTCAACAACTTAACGTTTAAAGATTTTTTACAGATCATACTACAGTAAATATCCAATTGATTTTCGTTAATTCAATCAAACTATAATACACGTATGAATTATTAATTCTACTATTCTGAAAAATAGAAAGCATGCCTTAAAACAAATAAAATATTGAAAATTAGACTCATTGAAATAATGCTAAACATCGTTAATGTTTAAGTGGACGGGTTAAAAAGTCAATTGCTAATTAAATAGTTTAAGCTGAATTACAACGGTCAGAAAATAATGGTGGTAACAGAAAAATTCTCCGAGTTTTTATAATTAACTAGATTTTAATTTCTTCATGTTATGTAGTACACGTTTTGAGTCGTTAGGTTTTGGTTAGAAATTGAATGCTCGAAAAATAATATTACAAATTACAATCTCTAAGTAAGCTAGCCTATAATTATTGTACATGTTTCTGCGGCGTGAAAACAAACTATAAGATTAGGTAGGTACTATGAGTATTACCTTACCTTACATTCATGGAACCTTACTATATTAATAATTAACAAGCACAGGAAGGAAACATAATATTAGTCTAAGAGAGAGATTTTACATAAACTGCGGATAATTCAAAAAATACACGCATCGAAATTAAATTCGTGAAACATATATTATGGGTTTTTTAAATACCAACGTTAGGTAAGCTAAGCCCACGGATTCGTGTTTTAAAAGAATATATATCATAATACAATGTTAGAATGAGAAGAAAACATCAATTCATCACAAAGTATCCACGTAAAAATGATGTTTTTTTCTTTTCATAATATATAGTTTTATGTGTTGGTTTTTTTTTTTTGTCTCGCGGCTGACTACGTTTCACGCGAGTAAGAAAAAACAAAATATGCGACAAAAAAGAAACTGATAAATATTAAAAGAAAAAATCACCAGACATTTTCAATAATGATGATGACTTATACAAACCTATACTTTAAAACTTTTTACACGTACCTCATCCGGTGTACGTATGTGTAGATATATACTTTTGAGATTTTCCGAACGCCACTTTTCTTTTACCGACACACAAATATAAATCATCAGCTCATCTGAACCCGTATATACGATATTATTATTATTATAGTGTATCTAATCTAATGTAAATATTACTAAACGAGTGTCGCTCACCACATATCGTATTAATGTGTGATTTCCGGATACATTTTGTGTATGTGTGTACCATCGTATTTAGCTAGAGTTAGAAAATTATATCAAAATGTTAAGTTCCCAAATTACGTGATTTTTTTTTGTTTTCCTTGAGTGCCATTAAATTTTAATTTTAAAACATCGATAGAAGAGTAGGTATATTATTATGTGGATTTTAATGTCTACTTTAGGTGTAAGCTTTATTTAAAAATATTTATCTCCCAAAATTCGACTGAATTCACCCGCCTACGGATGTACGTCGCGGCGTTTGTTTTCCTTTTTCGCAAACATATTATACATTTATTACAGCTGACATATAGAAAACCGGGTATATCCCGCCCAGAATGATGATAATAATAATAATAATAATATATTAATGCTGACACTAGTCAAAAGCCAAACTATTTATTTTTTTTGGACTTCCACAGACTTCCACCATCCCTTTCTCTATCGTTACAGCCCAGACCCCCCTTTCTAACCACCGACCCTCCATCTTCCGCTCATCATCGTACCACAGTCACACCCTCTATATACATATAACATTATTATTATTATATGTATATATGCGTCTCAAAGAGTCGAGAGGTTTTCGGCATTTCGGCGTCGTCGTCGCCGTCCGGCCTCGGATTGATAAATGATGTAGCAAAGGCATCACAGTCTCGGCCTTTCTTCTGCCCACCGACCGTAGTGGTATCCACTCCGCCCATCTCAAGCACACCGCATCGGATAACAGCTTCTTCTGCTTCTTCGATCCGAGACATTAGCTGCCCTCAGTCCTGACTAATAACAGTTTTACATTTTACACCGACAGTTTTTCGGAACAACCTAGGTACTTACTGTGGTAATTGTGTACCTATATAGATTTATATTTTTCTACCCCTATAATAAATTATAGCAACAACATTTAACTTTTTCTGTTTAAAAATCAAATTATAATTTAATCCATCGTCGTTGAGACTTGTCAACAAATAAGCTATTATAGCTAGGTACCTACATTGTCCAAAGCTAAGCTCAGTCTGTAATATACAGATAATAATTATCTGTGTATACAAGAAATAGTAATTATTCTAATTCGTTAGCTAAATAGTAGAAAGTGTAGGTACATTTAGATCAAAACGATAGATCATAACTAATCGTATGAAGAGCAATATGAATACTGTTAATAAAATATTTATACTTTACTATATTATGGTCCGTAAATGACGACAGCTAAAACAAAACAAAAAAATAAATATTTAAGAAAAAACAGGATTCCAACATCGTTATCGATATTACCGATACGATTAACAACATGTTGACAACATGATTTACCTACAATAGGTATAGTCCGGTGGGAGCGGTGGCACAAATTATACATTTTGAATTTTTATCTTTTTGTCTTTAAACATGATTTGAATGTATCAAATATATTAACATAACTAAAAAATCAATATCAGTCTATGTCGAAGGTGCGAACATTTCTTGTTGAGTTTTTTGGAAGTTGGTGTAAGTGTTAATTTGGATATTGTTCGGAATCAGAAAAGTATATTATTGTGTTTGACTTTGATGGGTGTAAATACGAAAAAGCCTGGGCACCGAGGTACGTATGTGATTTAAGTACTGAAATCTGACTGTACTTACATATTATATTATATACTTCATCAAGTTATTTTTTAATTTTCATACACGCGCAATGCACAATAACTTATGATTCATTATGCACTATAATGTATCCATTATTATATTAATAATTTATATTTACTCAACCACGGTAGGCAATAATACCATCCTCCCTGCATTCGATATTAGAGCCTAATATTTCTTTAAGTTATTTTTATCAAATGTTTACTCACAATATTTATACAAGAATAGTTATCTGAGTATAATAAAACAGTTGAATATATTTTATAACCTAATAAAAAATACACTAGAAAAATCTGAACTTATTTAAGATCGAAAAAATACAGTACCTAATACCTATACATGACTATAAATTACTGAAATTGAAATTAAAAGAATATCCAGAATAATAAAAGCAAAATATATTATGCGTATTTGTGGAAAAAAAACGCAATAATTTGGTATGCAAATAAGTAGTAGTTAAGATTATTTTATGTAACATACAAGGAAAAAGTATTTGGATACGAAGTGGCATACGATTTTTAACTCATGTATTAATATTTTTTATAACAAAGTTTGAAACACTAAAACGATTTGGGTTTTACTTTTAAATATAAATATTAAAACCATTTGAAAATTAGTAAGTGAGTAATTTGCCAAGACGCAAGACAAAACATTAAAACATAATGAGATAAAAATATTTTTACTTTGAAAAATTATTTTATAAAAATACGCACTTATTACACTAGGTACTTGACTGTATTATTATAAAAAATAAAAGTGAATAAATTGAGTCCAATTTTAATTAAAACTATAGTAGGTACCTACTAGTTAAACTTCAATATAATATGTATGAACATGTACATGGTAGTAGGTATATGCTATATATTATTAGATACCCGTTATATGCATAATAGGTACCTACTTCCATTATGTTTTATTACCACATGATGGTTTATATTATATAACTAAGTAGTTATGTTTTATCCTTCCGTTTATTATCACAACAATCTACAAGTCTTATTATCTATTTATTTTATATATTATATTTTAAATTAATAAGCCGTGACCACATAATTATGCCTCATTAATAATGGTAATATTTAAATTAATTATAATATAGTTTGTATATTATTATGTTATTTAACTATATGTATAAACGTAATAACAATGTTAAAAAATAAATATGGAAAGTAGGTAGGTACCCCGAATAAAGAAAACTTTTGAGATGCTCCTACCTTTGCTTACCATCGCGTAGCGGGACGACAATGTCAAAAATACAATTTATAAAACGAAATTTGTAAGAGACATAACATGTACGATCGTGAAACAAGCACAAAAGCTAACAGAACACCATGCGCAAGAGGGCTATACGGAGCTGCAGTACATCACTTACACCACAATAACTCTGTGCAGGCTTACCAGGAAATAGTAACACAATGAATTATGAACCCGTGTAGACGTGACATGGGTAATTTTATGGAAAACGCTTTTCCTAACTCCAAAACAACATAAGCGAACAATGAGAGGGGGGGGACAAAATTGTTCATAAATCGTCTCGAAACCCGGCGAACGGGGTGCGATTATTATTATTATTATTATTATTTCGGTATGCAATTTATATATTACATTTTTTTTGTCCGGAATCGTCGTGTAAAAAATTTAACGTCATCGGCGACCACGGATTATAATAATATCGTAACCGCCGCAGTGCGCGTCGTCCCCACAAACACAATGTATGGCAAGTATATATTATTATTATATATGTGTGCTGGCGTTTCAAGTTGTGTGAACGCAAATGGTTAACCGCAAAAATTGCCTGGTTAGCTTTAGTAGGTAGGTACAGCATGCGTATAATCCACCATTACCGGTAACCGTGGGCCTTGGACTTTCATCGTTAAATATGGCATTCAAACGTACCCGGAATACTGGCTTTAAGTACGGTTATGCATAAAGTCCGTTTCACAAACGAATGAACACCGTCCCACGTTATATACATAATACATAACCGTATGACGTAAGCACTCCACAATCGGCTAAAATATTCAGTGTGATTTCGCAGTAAGTATCCAAATAATATTTTAAATGCGCCCTATTCAGGGTTTCAAAATTTAACATTTCCGATGGATTTTTTTAGTAAATGTTTATTAATTATTGTAGATACTCTTGCAATCGTTGATACATAATGTACATAACTCCTAGAACACTTTACAAAATATGGCTTGTACTTTATAATGTTATATACAATTTAAATGTTGTTATCGTACAAATGTCGAGGGCTTTTGGTATACAGTATACGTACAGCCGGCATGTACATTATGTGATATTAAATGTGAACCCCCAAAGTCCCAAATATAAAATCAATTCTGTAACCGCCTAAATCCGCAGTGAATAATTCAGTTATTTAAAATTTAGAAAATAACATTGTGTAGTGAAAAAAATGTCTTCTTATTATTATAAATTACAGGGTTTACGTAAAAGATGCATGCATAATAATTCAATTGACTTTACTTATATTATTTGAATACATACGTTTTTAACACTTTTCTTAAGTTTGGTTACACGTCTGTCTGTGATCAAATCTTGCGCGCTCGATTTGAGGCACTTTTTGAAGATGAAAAATTCTGAAAATTTGTATAGACCTTGGTCTTGGATGACAATACAATAATCCGTAAAAAAATTTTTTTTAACTAAAAAGTAGAAAATAAAAAATTAAAAAATTATTTTGAAATAATATGTCTTCCTTATTAATTAGGCTCAAATATTATTTGATTTTATTCTTACAATCTAGGTAAAATATCGTTTACATAATCGATAGAAACTGGCAGGAAATAAAAAGACGAAAGTAGATACATACTGGTATATAACCTGTCAAGATCAATATTTACTGCAGAATATGCGTGTACCCAACTAAGAGGAGTGAATTAAAATTAATTAGTATACTTAATTACTACAAAAAGTAATTAAAAGTTTTCATTATGCACAAATAATTCTTAGAATTTCGGATAAACGGAATTAAATTATTGTATAAACGTCAACAGGTGTACGTTTGTTAACAGATGTTTTTATTCTAGGTTTCGCTGTTGATATATAATTTAACGTTAAGTTTGAATACAAGTTACCAACACCTAACTTGTTGCATTATCAAAAATTTCGACACCCCTTTTGCAATCTTCTAGTGGTGTACAATAATAATAATAATATACTTTGGTCGGTCCTTGAATAAATTATCATCAAAAAGTCAAAGGCGTCGTTAATAAGGTTTTTGCTACGACTGCCAACGTGCTAACTGCCGACCGCGGTCGTATCTTTGGTTGGTAGGTAGGGTACAAAAAAATGAATAATAATATTATTATGCCACATGAATATAATGATATATTATAGGAGCGTAAATTAGTTTTCATGGGATTAAAATAACTAATGAATGAATAAAAAAAAAAGTTTTCCATATACGCATAATCATAAAATAAAGGGCCGAGACAAAAGCGTCCGTCTCGGACTCGAGTATCAACGGGGCCAAACACTAAACCCGCCTGTATGTAATATATATATATATTTATATTATTATAAATGGTTTGTTTAACGTAATAAATGATAATAAATGCGTTTTATTTCTTAAATGTATTACGTTCCTTCTCATCCGTGGAGTAGCAAGACATCCTCGAGATGAATCCAAGTATACACAAGTGCGAGACATCGGGTTCGATAACAAAGGGACTAGTGGCGAGAGGGAAACAATATGGAAGGGAGGAAACGAGTGCGCTCTCCTTTTGGCAATTCCTCCTTCCTCGCACGGTGGAGGGGGGTTGGAAAAAAGGGTCATTTGTAGTAATGAACGACACAAAAATATATTATGTAATGCGTGGACGAAGAAAAGAGAAGTTGACGTAATGGGCAATCGGATTTGAAGCCGGCGTCCCTTATTTTTATGTCCTTTCTGCCTATCTTTCTCTTTTTATTATGAACATATATAAAGCATTCGCAATCATTTTTATTATCGTCTCTAGTTTACAGCTTTTGAAATCCGGCCAATGTATAAAGAACTATGTTTACATATTATTCTTACGGCGGACCTTTAACTGAACGATATTCGGTAAACTTTATTTTCATTACCTATATATAAGTTTAGGTACTACACCTCCACGATATTATTTTTGTGGCT